TTACAGAACCGGCACTAAAGTTCCTTATGAACCGGTGTTATAACCCGGTTCTGAACTAGTGGCAGTATGACTGTCACCGTCCACAACTCTTTGTGTTCTACTTGTGCATATCATCTACACATAGACCTGGCTCGGATGCCACTGTTGGGGAACGTTGCATGGAAAACAAAAAGTTTATACGCACACGCAATCACTACAGGAAACAGATAATTTGCCGTCTGTGGATCACAGACGGCTAAGACCTAAATCCAGACGGCAAAGATTTTGCCGTCAGGAAGCAGACGGCAAACTCAGACGGCAAAGATAAGTCGGCAAAGAATGTTTTGCCGTCAGCTTTTTATCGTACAGACGGCACAGTCTTTGCCCGCAGCTGAAGTCATGTTTTGCCATCAGCCTATTAACCGACAGACGGCAAAATCCAGGCTCTTTGCCGTCAGTAAGGCTTCTTCTTTGCCGTCTGCCCTCAAACCCATAGACGGCAAACAATTATTTATATATAAAAAACAATAGCAGGTAGTTTGTGTTCCTTTTTTATTTGTACTTTTAGTTGTTTGAACGGGAGACCCTCGCGAAGGACCCAGAAGCTACTTCATTGATAATTATTATTTGCAAGAGTCTACAACTGCCACAAGGACCCACCAAAAAAGTGAAATTACAACACAGTATGGGATCTTTATAGGAAAGACCGAAACATGAGCTGGAAAACGCGATCTGGTCCATCTTCTTTCTTGCTTCGACATCGGACAAAGAACTCTAATATCGGGGCTGGACCACCGCGGCTGTCGCCCAGACGGCGGCCTCCTCTGCTCAAGGCTGGAACAAAGCAGCGACGAGGAGGCTGGAACAGGGCCGGCTGGTGCAGACTGCAGAGGCCCATCGAGCAAGGAGGAAAGGCGGGCACCCCGATGTAGGCGTTCCGGTCGACGTGGTTGGGGAGGAGGCGAGGCTGGGAGAGCAGCGGGTGGCCCGTCGCGCCCCGCGTCGCCCGCCCTCACCAGCGCCGGCCGCCGCCCACCCTCGCACACGCCAGCCGCGACGCCCGCCCTCGCAGACGCCAGCCGCCGCCCGCGCCAGTGGCCCTCCTCGCAAACGTCGGGCAAGGCTGAGGAGACCAGCGGTTGGCCCGTCGCGCTTCGCCCCCGCCAGCCCCGGCCGCCGCCCGCGCCGGCCGCCCGCGGCTGCCTCCCTGCTCGCCATCCGCGCCATCGCACGCCCTGGCCGCCCTGCCTGCGGCTGCCTCCCGGCTCGCTATCCCCGTCGCGGGCAGTGGTGGAGTGTGTGCGCGCGTCGTGGGCAGGTGGGGGTGAGCCGGGGGTTATTTTTTTACTTAGTGGTGGAGTGGGTCACGTGGGTGGGGTGAAAAGAGAGATGGGGAGGGCAGGATCGAGCAGCATGCGGTGGTGGATGGCTGCCACGTCATCGATCCGCGAGGTGGATCCGTGTGCTGTGCTTTCTCAGTTTGCCGTCTGCGAAACAAAATACAAACGGCAAAGAACTCACTTTGCCGTCTGCGAACAAAAACACAGACGGCAAAGATTTTTTGCCGTCTGCCAAAACAAACACAGACGGCAAAGAATTTTTGCCGTCTGTGTTTTCTTAGGCAGACGGCAAAGTGAGCTCTTTGTCGTATGTGTTTTTATTCGCAGACGGCAAAGTATATTTTGCCGTCAGTTTTTCTTTGCCGTCTGTTGATGACAGCAAACCTTTACTTTGCCGTCTTCTCGATGAAAAGCTGACGGCAAAGACGTCCCCTGACGGCAAATTAGCAGTTTCCCGTAGTGAATATCTATCCGTGGAGATGCATAGCTACGAGAGGGAGAGAGCATCTACATACATTTGTAGATAGCTAAGCGGAAGCGTTTATCACGCGGTTGATGTAACCGTACTCTTCGCGATCCTATCACGATCCAACCGATCTAGTGCCGAACAAACGTCACCTCCATGTTTAGCACACGTGTGACTCGATGAAGACTCCTCCTTCTTGATCCAGCAAGCGAGAGAGGAGAAGTAGATGGGATCACAACCAACACGACGGCGTGGTGGTGATGGTGGTGGTTCAGCACGGACAGCGCTTCGCTAAGCGTCGTCGGCATGAGGTGGTGGAACTATGGAGTAACGGAAGAGAGAGGGGCACCACGGGCTTGGTATACCCTCTTGGGGAACCCCCTCCTCTCTATAAATAGGTGGAGGGGCGTGGGAAACAACCCATCCAGGCCCTAGGGCACAGCTATGGGGGGAGAGGAATTGGACTCCGACTCCAATCCTATTCCTACTAGGACTCCTTCCTTTTTTGCCTTTCTTAGCCACATAGGCTTTTGAGGACTTGGTGCTCCTAGACCAATAAGGCCAGGGCGCCTTCCTGCAGCCCATGCTAGCCCTGGGGTCATGGTGAACCCACTTTTGGACTTCCATACCCCTCCAGAATCCTCCGGAACCTTCTGGAAGCTTCCTGGTACAATACCGAAAAAACTGCACCTTTTTCCGGAACCCAAACTATGACTTCCCATATATAAATCTTTTCCTCTCGACCGTTCCGAGAATCCTCATGACGTCCTGGATCTCATCCGGGACCCCGAACAACATTTCGTTACCACTCATCAAGTATCCCAATACTGCTCTCATCAATGGACATTAAGCGTGCGGACCCTACGGGTTCGTGAACCATGTAGACATGACCGAGACACCTCTCCGGTCAATAACCAATAGTGGGACCTAGATGCCCATATTGGTTCCTACATATTCTATGAAGATCCTTATCGGTCGAACCATTATGAAAACAAACGTAATTCCCTTTGTCTATCGGTATGTTACTTGCCCGAGATTCGATCGTAGGTATCTTCATACCTAGTTCAATCTCGTTACCGGCAAGTGTCTTTACTCGTTCCTTAATACATCATCTCATAACTAACTCCTTAGTTTTGGTTGCAAGCTTCTTATGTGTGTATTACCGAGAAGGCCCAGAGATACCTTTCTGATACTCAGAGTGACAAATCCTATTCTCGATCCATGCCAACTCAACAAACACCTTCAGAGATACCTATAGAGCATCTTTATGATCACCGAGTTACTTTTTGACATTTTATAAAACACAAGGCATTCCTCTGATATCCGGGAGTTGCATGATCTCATGGTCGAAGGAACATGTATTTGACATTCAAGAAAGCAGTAGCAATAAACTGAACGATCACATGCTAAACTAACGGATGGGTCTTGTCCATCACATCATTCTCCTAATGATGTGATCCCGTTATCAAAGGACAACTCATGTCTATGTTTGGAAACCTTAACCATCTTTGGTCAACGAGCTAGTCTAGTAGAGGCTCACTAGGGACGTAGTATTTTATCAATTTATCCACACATGTATTTAAGTTTCCGATCAATACATTTATAGCATGAATAATAAACCTTTATCATGAATAAGGAAATATAATAATAAAGATTTTACTATTGCCTCTAGGGCATATTTCCATCATAAGGAACTCAGTTGTTTAAACCGAAATAACGAGAAGGTTTTGGTTCACTTACAATCGATATGCCTAGATAGCCCTCCGCTTCTTGGCCTCAAAACTTATCGTAGATATAGCAGTGCCATGGTTATAGTGCAAGTGTTAGTGAATGTTTGACACGAGAAATAATAAAAATAACATGGGTTATTTTATTATTATCTCTCTACAAGCCAGGGGAAATAAAACGTTGCGGGCGTGCCAGTGTACTAAGTACACAATTAAAGATAGGGAAACATGCACTTTATTAATCTCTCAATGGAGAAACAAAAATACAAGATCCCTTTACATATGCGCTCTGTGGCCTACTAGCGCGGCCAGCCTGACTGTAGCGATTGCGGTCTCTTGGTTCCCGGGGCCTCGGAAAGCTCCCAGTTAATTACTCCCACGGGTTACTCCGCGAGACACCTCCGATTAAGCCGTGCAGTCATCTTCGTCGTCTTCGCTTCGCTTTCTCCATGCATGATGATGATGGTGTGTGTGTGTGTGGTGTGGGCGGCAGCAAAGCCCGTGTCCTCGTCGATACACGTGCCGCTCAAAACATGACTTTGTGCAAGCCATGCCCGCCCTCGCCGTCGCGCCTCGTCGGTCTTGACAGCATTGATGTAGTTGGTGTTGGAATAGCATGGGTCCTGCTCTGCTCGGACTTCTTGACAATGTAGCGGTTTCGTCGGGGTATGCAAGGGGTTCGCCTCGCGGGAGTACTCTTATGGAGACCGGCGTCGGTGTAAAACCAACACTCGTCATACCGGCATAGCCGGTGTGGTTGGTGCCTTGTCTCGACTAGACGCCGAGGTTACGACAGTCTGTGAAGACAAAGACTCCGCCACACGACACCATGGAAGGTAACATCTTAGAGGGGCGTGGTGGATGCCTCTCTTGGCTAGACACCGTATTCGGTGGTCTGCCAAAACAAGGATCACGCCGCCCGTACGACAACCGAGACCTGATGCAATGAAGGGTGCACCTCGTCTCGTTTGGACGCCGTATTCGATGGTCCAATACGATGGTCCAATAAGACAAGGGCAAAGCGTCGCGGTGCCGACGAAAGGTGACGTCATGGAAGGGCGTGGTTCATACCCCGTCCTAGCTAGACGCCGTATTCGGTTGTTTGCTAAGACAAGGGGCACGCTGCCTCTACGCCGAGACTTGTACGCCATGAAGAGTGCACCTCGTCTCGGCTGGACGCCGTATTCGGTGGTTCGCCAAGACAAAGGAAACACATCGCATGATCGTGGTAAGGGTCGGTGAAGACGTGTCATCGCGTAGCACCATCTTCTTCGTATCGCGGGCTCCGTGTTACGGGCAACACCGGGGTGTGTGTCATCTTCATGGACTCCACGTCGCGGGCTCCGTCTTGATGAGGTAGACATCGGTGGTGCCGTCCTGCGAGCTCCACGCCTCCGTCCACCACAGCACCAGCTTGTTGATGTTGACGATGGACGTTGTCCTAGCGAGCTCGGTGTCACCATCCAACGCGGTACGGCGGCGGCACCCTCATGAGCTCCGCGCATCCGTCCTCCATGGCGCCAGCTTGGTGAAGAAGACCACGGGCGTCGTCCTAGCGAGCTCCGTCTCGCCATCCTCTGTGGCACGCGGCGGCATCCCTGCGAGCTCCACGCTCCCGGGCTCCAGCTTGACGAAGTAGACGACGGGCGTCATCCTAGCGAGCTCTGTCTCGCCATCCTCCGTGGCACGCGGCGGCATCCCTGCGAGCTCCACGCCTCCGGGATCCAGCTTGACGAAGTAGACATCGGCGACATCTCCAACGGGCGCCACGCCTCCGTCCTCTAGCTCCAGCATGACGAAGTAGATGTGGGGCGTTCTCCTTGCGAGCTCCCCCTCACGATCCTTGTGGCACCGGGTTGATGATGTTGATATTGGCGTCGTCTTGGCGAACTCCATGATGCCATCCATCACGGCACGGAGGCGGTATCCTCGCGAGCCTCCATGGCGCCAGCTTGATGAAGTTGACACTGGCGTCGTCTTGGCGAACTCCGCGGTGCCATCCACTGGAGCAACGCGGCGGCATCCTCGTGAGCTCCATATCATGTTCTTCATGGCATCGGCTTGGTGTAAGATCGGCTTGTCTCCAAAGGCGGCCACCACGAAGGAATCCAACAGGCTGCGCCCGGCAGCACCACCGCTCATCTGCAAGCTTACGAGATAACACAAATTTGATTATACGTTAGATAGTTGAGAGGGTGTAGATGCATGGCTTGTTCTTCGTCCGGCGCACGCATTGCTGCCACGAGCGCATCCACAGAGCCGACGTGCGTCTCGCGGCAGTGGGCGCGTCTTCCACAGGACCTCCTCAACGCAGCCGCTGGCCGGGTCTCCACCCGGGTACACTGCCCTCTTTCTCCTGATGCTTCGTGCCTCGTCTCCGCCGTGTACGGGTGTGAGGTTCTGCTGCGTTCTTCTGCCTCCCCCTGTGAAACCTGTTTGACCAAAACACATATATATCAAAGAAGTGAGTCAGCAGGGCATGCGTTGCTGCCTGTTCTTCATCTCGCCAAACGCCTGCTCGCCACCCGCAACACGCTCCCACTGCCGCCGCCCTTGCGGACGCGGTCTTCTTCTCTAGTGCCGCGAAGCATCCGTCTGGCGCCACTGCAAGCGGCATGTGGTAGCGAACACGCAGGGCGCGCCTTGCACACACCCACCGTAGCAGCCGCCGGCCCATCACATAGAATGGAACATAGCCAGCGCCACCTCTGAGGCGATGCGCGTACGTCCGCCCGATCCCTTTGACGCTGCACCACGAGTGCTTCTCGTTCCTGGCCTCTGGTCTTTGCCTCCTCCTCTTGCGTGGGTTCCCCCCTCTTGCGGTCTTGTGTTTATATAGGCACGAGGAGGCCAGGTACTCACGTAGCCTCTGGCCGTCCCCATCTTCTTTACCAAGAAAACGTCTTCTTCTTTCCTTGTTTAATCTTACTTTGTTCGTTGATCTTCTTGACATACACGCCAGCACAAAGAAAGGAAAGCTACACTCGTGCATACCATACCAGAATCTGAACGGTAATTGCAGCAGATGGTACTTCCTTTGGCAACGACGGTGCTTGTAAAATCCCTAGTCAGCCGTAAGGTTTTATTCTGAATTAATCTTTACTTGCCAAATCAAACCTTGTACGTGCTCATCAAAGTGTTACTAGCCAAAAACTCAGCCACGTACGTGTGTAAGTGCATATTGGACCCAATGCAACATTAGCTTTCACGTATTTCAAGTACGTATTCATTGCGGGTACTCGGAGAAGTATACACGCGCTTGCCGGCCGGCCGTAAATACTCGAACACATATTTGTACAAACTCTACGTACATGCATGTGATGGGCTAAGTAGTTCATACATGCAGACATGCAATACCGGCGCCATGCACATGCAATATAGACACGTACACGTAGGCACTTCTTGCTCCATGTGTACAACTAAATAATATTGGTCCAAATCACCATTTAGGCAACTTTTATTTTGAAGTTATCCTCCCTCCTTATTTTCGTATTGTAGTGCAAAAATCTCATCGAACAGTGAAGCAGACATAATCAACACAAAGTTTCTGATCTACTAGATAAAACAACTTTGCAACACTTCATTTCATTTAATCTAGACAACACTTACTTGTCGGGAATGCACGGAAGAGTTTCTTAAGATAGATCCATGAAAACATAAGTTAGGGAGTGGAAAGCATATAGTGAAACATGATGCTCTAGTGCTCTTGAACACACCCATAATCGTTTCCTCCTCTAGGCTCTTAAACACTTTGTCTCAATCATTGTTTGCTGGAACTTTGATTGTCCCGTGAAGGAGATTATGCCAAATAAGTGATCATGCATACCTTTCAATGTGGCTAAATGTTTTGGGAACTATGGACCTTTAGCAATAATGTATCTTTCGAGCTCTTTTGACCAGCCCCCTTTATTTAGCACATACACACTCATTCAAGAGAAAGCCAAATAATACCCGTTTGTAGTGTTGCCACTACGTATGGTAACAAACTCATAGCCGAAATTCGAGCTATTGCTCTTGGTGGATCGTTCATTGGCCAGCAGAGTCATCAGCATAACATCAAGAAGGATGACGAAGCCACATTTACACACGTAAATGCGTATATAGTAGCAAAGGCCATGGCACCAGCTGGAGGCTGTAACACCATGTTGAGATATACAACACAGATTTTTGGTATAAACTCACCCACCTTTCAACTAAGTTCCTCTAGACAATTTATTCCACAAGTGCTATCAAGTCCATTAAAAATAACAATGTGGGGTTGAGCATATGCAAACATCACTTCCCTACAATTTCTCAACTCCCAAGTTTTGAAAAGACTTTCTCTTGTGCGAAGTTATAATTAATTTCATTTTAAAACTGTCCCACTACAAGTCTTAGTTGTCTAAACAGAAGAAAACAAAGGCTATAAAATATTTCAGATACTAGAGCAAAATCTTTGTATCAACTATCAAGACGCACTCCCATCCACATATATTACACATACTACTACTAATCTACTCTAAGTATCCAAGTGCAAAAGACAGTGGTCGTAGGACATACCTTCACGGCTGCGAATTTACACACTTCTCTTCTACTCTTGCATTCCTCATTGTTCTGCCATAGATCAACTCCTCTGAAAACAAAATGCAAGCGAACTCCAAGGGGCTAAATAAGAACAAGACCAAAGCAAAGCTTATTCTTTTTTTTTTGTTTTTTGGATTTTTCAAAACTAACTTGCAACCAAAACATCAGAAAGGCAAAAGCAAACAAAAGCAGAAAACAAAAGTAAATAAAAAAGCAAAGTGTTGGAACAAAGCAACACGAGTGTTTTGAAGCTCTATGAGCTTAAGTACAACCTTATTACAATTTATTTAAATACTGCCACATCTTGACGTAGAAGTGGTGATAACCTCCCCCAAGCTTACTGTCGGTGTGAAAACCGGAGACCTCAGGGTAGGGGGTCCCAAGCTGTGGATCTCGGATCGTGGGTAACAAGAACAGGGAGACGATATTTACCCAGGTTCGGGCCTCTTGATGGAGGTAAAACCCTATGTCCTGCTCTTTTTATAGTGACGGAGATGTATCGAATACATAGTTGATCTACCTCGAGATCGTGAGATGTGGTCTAACTCTAGGGTTAGGGGAATGATATTGCGTTGATGTACCCTCTACAGGTAAACCCTACGGCTTATATATATACACGCTGCGTAGGGTATCTAGGGTTACAAGGTAAGTATCGACACACGAGGCGGTAAGAGAACTCTTGGAGTATACGACAAGTCTTCGGTAGTTGCGGTCTTGATCACGCCTCCTGTGTACAGCCCACGTAGTCCTTCTAGAGAACGAATGAGGGCCCGTCGTCCCAATCCAAGGGATATGGGCCGACTAGGTTAGCACCCCCTAATCCAGGACACCGTCAGTAGCCCCCGAACTGGTCTTCTATGCCGCGAATGATTGCCTTGACGAGGACAACCTCGGATCCGAAGTCCTTGGCTAGACAGATGAGTTCCCCTCGGTAATTTCCAGCTTTTCGGACCACTCTCCAAAGGAGCAGTGTTTAGACAAGACTTAGCCGAGCTTCAAACCCGTCCCGAAGATCTTTGGCAACTTAGCCTGACAAATTTTATCGAAGTAGCACACCCCACGACGGGTGGGGCAATTACTGCTCCCCCTAAATCATGGCTCGAGGCGGCCTTTCTATTGGTACGTCCCATCGAGGTGGAGATCATGCCCATTTTCTCAAGGATATCATCAAGATTTTGTTCCCCCATATGCATAACAGCATCTCTTGTGGGGGTGGCGTTTTTATTGGCACAGCAAATGGGACTCTTGGCCTTTCGATAGCCTATAAGAGCAAAAAAGAGGACATTCCAAGCCACCATGCTCCCATCTCCCCCGCCTGCTGCTTCGTCTAGCTTTAGCGCCCAGATCCAATCTCGCACTCCTTTCCCTTAGCAAGTCCCGACCTCCCCAACCAGCCATGGCTGATACCCTCAAAGCTCATTGGGGTGGTTCCATCGTGGACAACACCATCCAGGAGCTGCGCGACGCGGGATATCACTCTGCTAACATCGCCACCCGCGCTCCTCACCACAAGTCGCCACTTACATCGAGTTGGTGTGGACTGGTTTTGATGCTAGAGCTTAAATTCTAAAGGATCGTCACACACTAAATTTTCAGGGCACAAGCATCAAGTGGACATAATCAAATACAAACAAGACGAGGATGTTCAAAAATTGTTTGACCTTTTGCCTGGCATGTGGGGGAATCTACGAGATTACCACTTTGATTAAGATGTCTGCAAGAAATTAACCTGACCCCGTTTACAGTGATTCTTTTTTATTCTTCCTGAAATGAAGCCTACCCTCTGCAATTGTGTTCAACCGTTGTTGCCCCAACAATAAAGCATGAACTTGGAACAAAAGAAAGTCACTTCTTCACTGACTTGGGTTAGAAAGCTATGTGGAAGTCGTAGCTTGTCAATGAATCTGTATTTTTATTTTTGAGATGGCTATGAAATTTATTTTCGGAGCTTCTCATGGAAATGCCATATGTAGTCGTCGTTTGCCTTCTTTTAAAAAAATTCCAGAAATGGTTCGTGGCTGATGTGTCTCCTGATCCGTGCGTGCTTGTATGTATATCCCGGTGGCCAATGTATGTGTCTCCTGATTGCTGATGTAAGTTCTTCATACACATGCAAATAATTAAAAAAAACATGTCATGGAAGTATACATGCAGTGACTGATGCATGAATATTCACTCAATCGCTGTAAATTTCATTTTCAAATATGAGAAACTGAAGATGACAGATATGTTCTCAAATGCACATAAACACTTCAGTATCATTGCAACAAGAAACGAACGTTTAGCACATGCACATATATAATGTATATATCTAATTTATCCTTTTTCTTATCATCAAAGAAGAA